CTAGATATTTGTTTGTAAACTGAACTAATCCAGAGTAGAATTGTGTCTCTTTGTGCTATGGCTATGGAGGCTATGAGCCCCAGCTGCAAATAAGATAGCATGGATCCACAGGGTCAAATTTCATTACTATAACCTGGGGCAATCATTAAAAGTATTAGATTGCATCATGAAGGTTGGTCCTAATTTGGCCTGATAGTAGAAAGCCCAGGAAAGTAAATTGTGACAGTAACTCTTATTGCAGCTGGTTATAAAGAGATCATTGATCTTCTTTCACAAGAATCACAAAAATTCTTCAGTGCTTCCCACAAAACCCAGGAATCATTTGCATGTGTATCACAGACATCATTTCATATGAATTCCTTGACCTGCAGATTGTAGTTCACTGGGAACCACACATCATTCTGAGATGTTTGACCCCCTGCTTTCATTGCAAGAGAAATGTCATTCTCCAAGGACCATTCCCCCAACCTTCCCCAATATGCATACTTTCTAAAGAGGCCTCATGTGTGCTATGAAGTCAGATAATCTATAGTTTGACAGGATGTGAAATAACAGCTGGTCAGGTGTCTACACTAGTCAAATTGGTTTTAGACAAGATTACATTATCACATGGATTTGTTTGATTGTGAGCATAAGATACAGAAATAGCAGAAATCTATCACACTAATGTTGCTTATCTGTCTGTATTTCATCAATTTGTGCTTCTGTTTGGACAAACTAAATTTTGTGGGCTTGGGGGATAAGGGGAGAAGATGTGATGGAAAAGAATGATCATGGTGCAAAGTTTTATTAAGTTTGTCCTCAGAAGTAAAAGGGCAGGGGCTGAGGGAATTGTGTAAGACTTTAGAAAAATTCTGACTTTATTGTTAGTATCCTTTGCTTCTCATTTTTTTTCTTGCAATGACTATCAGTAGAATCCGTTACAAGTTAGACATCTTATGTGTTCATTCTGGGGACAATAATCAGGATAATTCAATAAAATACATTCTATGCCACTGACAATATGGGGAAAATAAAAAGGAACACCTCCAAATAGAGTAGGTGATAGTTTTTAAAAGGTGAGGAGAACCGAGTGCCTGGGAGCCTAGCAAGAAGTGGACCCTCGGCAAAGAAGTACCCTGGGATTGCGGCCTGTTAGGAATTCTGTAAAGATTCCTGGATTACACAGAAAAATGAACTAGATAATAAATAACCTCAACAGTTTCTTTCAAATCCAATATTTTCCAGTTCATCACATCTAGTAGAAACTGATAAGAATTGCTTCCATCGGAGATTTAAAGATAAATTCTGTATTTTAGGTAAGAATGATAATATGGTAATTGCTAATATTTTATGTTTACATCATCATTGTAATTTTACCAACAAGAATTCTTTGCATTAAAGTAATGGTTTCTTTGTGGGGTGTAAATAATTTTTATGGTACTATTTTAATTAAAATAATATTGGTCATGGATCACATATACATAAAACAGAATGGATCCTATATGTCTGTTTATTTACTGTTGTATTAGGGGCTGTATTAAGGGCTTGTAGGGTTTTCCTATCTCTGTAACCCTTGCTCTTCAAGTATAAATCTTTGCAGACTCTGTTGGGTTCTGGATAATGTGAAATGTGGATTTGTGTTTAAATTAATCAGCTTAGTGAGATATTTTTCTCTCCTTGATATGAAATCTTTCCTTACAAAAATCAAGGGTGAGATGTTGCACTAAATTATCAGAGTTGTTACACACCTGGATCATGGAGATGAATACACAGGAAGTGCTTGAAATTTCTTTTATTTTAGTGCCAGAAAAATCTGTACATTATTGTGAGGAAATAAACACCCAGGTCACTCAACATTATCATCTGGGACCAAGTAAAGGGCAGACAAAATCATAGTCAGACATCTGTAACTGAATACCTTTAATTCAACAGATTTCTTCCCCTGGATTCCTTCAACTTTTACAAAAAGTTACAAACAGTAATGAAAATATTCAGTGAGGAGAGTAGGATACATCCTTGCACCAGGGCAAATTCTAGCTAGTGGAGATCAATCTCTTCTTGTTATACATCAATAATTCATGAAATTAAAAATGGAAATTCAATCTTATAATAGTAGTAGTTAATATTTATTGAGCCTGCCATGTCCATTCAGCTTCAGCACTCAGGTTGTACTCTTGATAGCTCACCCAGCTCACCTTGAAATGAAATGGAAATGGTGATAGCCTACCTGGGTAAAAGTAGGAAGGAGGAGAGCAGGGTTATGCCTCAGATAGTACTCTGTGTGTGTATGTATATGTATGGGTGTACACATTAATTGAGCATCTACTATGTGTTAGGTGTATTGCAGAATTTTCTACATATATGATCTCATTTAATATTTTTAGCAGTCCCATAAGTTGGGTACTATTATTAGCCTCCTTTTATTGGCCATGGCTCTGAAGCTTTGTAAGATCCTTAGTCAGCTACTTAATAAGGCAGGAAAATGGACTGATATTATTCTGTAAAAGTATCACGTGCAAGACAAAATAAAAAAGACTTTTATGATTAACAGTCATTAATCAGAAACTCCTAACACCTAAGCATTCCTTATAATCAGGACCTTACCCAACCTGAGGTATAGTACTCAAATGATTGAGGTGCATTTAAAATCTAATTATTTTAAGTAATATTGCTATAATCAGCAACAGAACTTTTCAGTGATGGCATTAATTCTTGGTTATCAACTGCCAAGTCTTTATTCTAATTACATGGATTAATGTAATGAGTCATCTACCCCCACTTATTGAAGATTAATTCATTCATTCAGCATTCACTATGTGTGTGGTGCTAGACACAAGGGATATAGCTATGGGGAAGTAAAGGGAGGAAGAGATATCCTCCTTAGAAAAATTAACAAGCTTACAGGGAAAAGTTTGTTTTAATTTACTAAGAGTAATATGATTACCATAAATACATATTTGTTAATCTTTGCAGTAACCCTGTGTGCAGTTTCATTACTTCTGTTTATACATTATGAAACTAAGACTAAGCTTACATGACTTCCAAAAAACTGTCTAGCTAGTAAAGAATACCTGAGTTTTGAAACTGTCAGGCTCATTACACTATACCACTCTATCTTAATGGAACTTATTTTGATCAATAGGATATTGCAGAAAGAAATGCCAAGGGAAGTTTTGGAACAGTACACTGATCATATTTTGCTCTAGTATTACTCAAGTGCAACAACCGTCTTTATTTGTAAATCATATAAAAGTCTAGTCTTCTTTGAAAATAGTATCTGTCATGACATCAATATTTTCTAATACTCAGCTATTGGCATTTGTTTCTTTAGTTCTACTCATGTTAGAGATTTAATAGGATGCAGATATGATGCAGTGAATAGTTGACTTAAGATATAGAATCAAGTTTTATTCTTTCCTTTAGTTATTTACATGATGGAAAGGATAGATGTTTGACAAGTCTCAAAGGATATTTAATGGATGTGTTCAAAGTGGAGTGTGACTGCTGAAGAAATAGTACTTTTAATGTGGGCTGAAAACATCAGCTAGGGGATGCTCCTTATTTAAAACAGTAATGTGGAGTCATTTTGTTAGAACCTTAGCATTCATTTTACTGAAATTTGGTTGACCTTTTGCTAATTGGATTCAAAGCTTTTTATTGATATTTTGATACATTACCTCAACAATTGTACAGCTAATAGCCACAGAAAAATGGGGGTTAAAGAATGAATCATATCATGCTAACCTGATTTCCCCTTTGATAGGACTAGAGAACTAGTGGATAAAAGGCTTAAACAAGGTGTCTTTACTCGGGGCTTTAACATAGCTTTTGATTCTGCATTTCATGAAGTCTTAATTGAAACACTTGAAATTCCAGGTGCTGTTCCCAGAGGTGTAACAAACAATCTCTCCTCATCCCTGACTGAACTATATGAGATTTGGAGGATTTGGAGCGTAGAAAATGCCTTTTGCCATTTTATATGATGTCACAGTGCCTAGTAAAGTGACCATGCCATCAGCAGCATTTGTAGAGATCAGATTAATACCACTCAAACCTGGGTCATAACTCCCCATCACTTCAGTGACTACACAACCAACTCTAGATATCTCTACCTTAGTTTTCTTTTCTCATTTGCCATGGAGTTATGGTTTCTCACTTTTTTTAGAAGACTGTTTTCATTGGAAGTGACTTGGATACCAAGATAGTCTAATGATTGTATCTGCATCAGTTCAACAAAACTTGTAATGAGATAATGGAAAAACGTTAGGAGATAATCCAAGGAATACAAACCAACCTTTTTCAAAGGATGAATGGGTACTCCCACTGGCGCCTTAAAGAAGATCTTCCCTTCCGTTCCCTTCCCTTCCCTTCCTTTCCCTTCCCTTCCCTTCCCGTCCCTCCCCTCCCCTCCCCTCCCCTCCCCTCTGCTATCGTTTTCTTTGAAACTGGCTCTGTTGCTCAGGCTGGCCTCTGTCTCCTAGGCTCAAACAATACTCCTGCACCAACCTGCCAAGTAGCTGGGACTACAGATATGTGCTACTGTGCCCAGCTAGTGTTTTCTATTTAAAGGAAGTAGAAGACAACTACTAGGGCTGGGAATATAGCTCAGTGGCACAGCACATGCCTGGCAAGGGCGAAGTCCTTAAATCAATTCCTCTTACTCCCCAAAAAAGAAAGGAAAACAACTGCTGCCTTGTGACCAAAAATGTGACATTCTCATAGTAACAGGAAGGATCTAATGAATGACAAAACCACCCTCTTATATTTTAATTCTATAATTGTAAACAAGATCTATAAAAATTGCAGAGGGCAAGTGTCTTTAAGGAATTCATCTATTATACCTAGGCTCTGAAGACCTAAAAGGTTTTCACTTAGTGGCTCACGTAAGAAATCTGGAGATGATCCCAGTCCTTAATGGAGTCTGGACTTTGGCTTTCTTTTTCTTCTTTAGGATTGAACCAGCTGCCCTTTGACCCTGCCAACAACAACGAGCCCCTGCAGTTTGGTAGTGCCAGTGGCCCTTTGGTCACAGAAGGCCTCATTGAAAATGGAGGGGACTCAAGCAAGAAAAGAAAGAGAACAAATGCTCCTTCAGGTAAGCTAGGTGATAACACGCTGTCTTAAGTCAGTGTTACTTGAGTCAACATTTTCCCAGAGCCTAGTATGTAGCGTGTCCTATGCTAGGACTTGTAGGAACTAAAGAATTAAAAGGTCCCTGTCTTTATGATAGAATGAAAAGAGGGAAACACATGTAAGTAAACTCTTAATAACAAGATAGAATATCACCAATGCTGTGGCAAATAGGTATAAGGGGCAAAAAACCTCTAGGAGCAGAAATAAGGGAGAATTTGATTTAGCTTTAGGCATTGTGAAATACTTCATGGCAGAAGTGACATTTAAAAATGATCCTTGAAGAATAGACAGAGTCAAGATGAGAGAAGAATAGAGAGCATCAGTTTGGGTAGAAGGGATTGTATGAGTGACTATTCACTGTACATTTGTACATTTGACTATTCACTGTACTATTCACTGTACAAAGTAAATACTTTGTATTTACATATGGCAGGCTACTCTCAACTTTCTTCTAACACAGAGAACTGCATACATTTGTGCCTCCACCTCTGCTCCTCCAAATGCATACCATGCCTTCATGTATTTTATGCACTTATAATTCTCTTAGCATAGCCAGTAAACAGATTCTCCTAAATCCTCTGTAACAGCCAACTGAATTTTTACATTCTTTCGCTGTTCCCCCAGCCCATAGATCCCATTGATCTAGTCTCATTTTAAATTCCTCCAGAAGGAATAAGGAAACAATAGGAGAACCCAATATTAACTGATCTTTTGATATTTTAAAATGCCATCTTTTTGTTTCTTGATTCCTCATTTGGAAATAGAATCTCTAATACATAGAGAATGATGTGGAAGATTTTCAGATGGGCCCGATAAATAGTTCATTACTTTTCTTTACTGTAATTTTACTTTCAACTTGTAAAATGGAGTTTATAAAAAGAATATCATATCTTTCTCTTAGATCAGAGCTCTCTTTCTGCTGATAAATCAAGGTATTTGAGTCTAGAAAATGAAAATGCAGGAAAACATTAGCTATGTGGAGCCCTCAAGAAAGAAGCTGAATTTTCTGGAGCACAAAAAGGCATGGTGGATAGCCAAGGAATTGCCCTGAGTTCTAACACTCACTCTGTCTCTCTCTGTGGCCTGGAGTCAGTTGCTTAACTTCTCTGTGTTTTACTTTCTTTAAAACCTCTTAGGATTGTTCAGAGAATTAGTTGAAATCATGTGGGTAAAGTGTTTAGGATGGTATCTACACATAGTTACCACTTAATAAATGTTGCTATTTTATTATGATAATTACTATGTGATAATATTACAAACCTTATCTTTCTAAGCATCAACATATTTCGCATTTTTAGGTTAACTATTATGGGTACGTGTGTGTGTATGTGTGTGTGTGTGTATATAAGCTTCTCTGTTTTTGTAAAGCATATATTCAACATAATTTAACTGTTTTATCTTTAGGGGCATAATTCCAGTCATTAGTTATTGTACTGCATTCTAATCCCCTATTAGAGCTTCTATGGTTTTCTAAGGAATATAGGCCTTTTGCCTCTATCCTAAATTATCCTAGACTGTGGTAGTTTTGTAGTTATTATAGTTACATTTTATACAAATCATGGTTCCTATCTGCATTCACTTCTTACTCTTCTCAGTGTCCTTCCAATTAGTTATGAACTTTATGTAAAAACAGTCTCTCCAGCTCTCTCAGTTAATGTGTTATGTTCGTACTATTTTAAGAGCTAAGTTGGCCGTCCATGGAATCTGCCATGGATAGAGTACATGGAGTTTATCACACCAAGTTTAAAAGATCTATTTTGGCTGGTCTGAGGCCTTTTTTGGTCGCTTATTAGTTTTTGTCTCTATTCATAAATAATGCTTTTGTTTAGAGCATTAGAGTACCCTAAATAGTTTGTTTAGAGTACCTCCTGAAATGTAGTTAACTCATAAGAGTGGGGGAAAAGGATATGCATTAATGTGAATTATGAACTAACTTTAAGGAATTAATATTTTATTTCTAATGAGCATATTCAGTGAAAGCAAAGTTAACTGTTGCAGATATAGGAGTTTAACAGTAGATTACAATAATCCATAATTAGCAGAATGAATTTGCATTCAAATCATGAATATGCTGAATTTCTTTAAAAACAGTATGTTCTTTAAAATAGGTGAAATAAGACCCTAGCAGACTAAATTAACTCTCTTGAAATCTCGTTCACACTATTTGCTTAGTGAACCCTGTCTTTGTAAGCAGTATAAAGGTAACTCCAACCCAAGTTAACCACAAATTCCAAATTACTGTAGTCCAAATTAATGAGGCTTTGCTATACAGGGAGTCTCTTGTCATTGTTCTGTGGCATTCTTGTGATATTATAAATGGGCAAATTGCTTTATAATATTATTTTCTTTCTCTGCATTGCTACACAAAAGGAAGAGGCAAGGTGTTTTGTGAGCAGAAGTTGCCGTTTTCTTTTGTCACCATATCCTACATCGTGCAAAGAGGAAACTAGGGCTGGAAATTCTTGTAGGAACTAGCAGCCATTTCCGTTCTAAGCTGAGATACTATGCAGCCATTGCTTCTCTTTCCTGGTAACCCCATAGAGTCAAAGCCGTCTGTCCCTCTCTTTTTCACTGAAAATAAAGTGAAGCTGAGAACGAACTGCAGCTCCAGTTCCTCATTGTGTGTTCTTTTCCCTTCACTTCCCATCCCTCCTACACTGTCCTTTTTCTACAAATTTTCTCTCTTCTTTTTTATAAAGCTGTGTTTTTGTTTTGTTTTGATTTTCAGTACTAGGGTCTGAACCAAGGACCTTTTGCACTGAGCTACATTCCCAACCCTTTTTATTTATTTTGATACAAGGTTCTGTTAAGTGACTAAGTTGCCAAGATTGGGCTCAAACTTGTGATCCTCGTGCTTTAGCTTCCAGACTGCTGGGATTATAGTCTTAAAGCTTCTTCCCTAAGGGTCGCCAGTGACCTCTGCTGTGGTTTGAATATATGTCCCCAATGATTCATGTTTTAGAATCTTACTCTCCAGTGTTGGCAGTATTGAGGTGATGGAACCTTTAAGAAAGGGGCAGTGGTGGAAGATAATTAAGTCAAGGGGTCTCTACCCTCATGAGTGGATTAATACTGTTCTCTCTGAGTGGGTTGGATCTCTCAGAAGTGGATAAGTTCCAGAGATCAGGTTGTTACAAAAGAAAGACCCTGACCCTTCCTCATTTTCTTGCTTCCTTGTTTGTATACATGCCACTTCTACAGATGGCTGCTTTCCTTTCCATTTCTCTGCCATGTTGCAGTGCAGCCAGATGGAGCACCATGCTGTTTGCATTTGCTAGCCACCAAAATTATGGCCCAAATAAACGCCTTTTCTTTAGAAAGATATAAATAAATCACAGGTAATTTGTTATTGCAACAGAAAATGAACTAAAATTCTGCATATTGTCAAGTTCAGTGGGATTTGGTACTTGTCAACTATCTTGACCTCTTTGTTTTATTTTATGCTAATTAACAGCTTCTTCCTTTCTTAAATTCTCTTTACTTTCACCTCTGTAGCAATATGCTTTGCTGGTTTTTCATTTTTTGTGTTCTTTAAGCCTTTCTCCTTTTCTTCCTCCCTTCACTGTTAGTGTATTAACGCCTATATTTATAGACGAAAAAGTAACAATAAATAAACTTATCCAAGGTTAACTACCTAGGAATTGGTTTAGCCGTGGCTCAAACTTCAAACCTTATTCCTAAGTACTATGTCATAGTTACTATGTCTGCTGATACTGGAAATTTAGCCCCACTACTATACTGTATACTAATCACCGGTAGCAGAATAAAGAAAGCTGTGTATGTGTGGACATAAATAGGTTAGAATAAGAGGAGCAGAACTTGGATTTGATAATCCCTATGTGTCCTTTCAAATTTTGAGATGCCATATTTCCTTCTTTTTATCTTTCTTTATGTGCTATTCCCCAAAACAAGTGTTCTGTTTCAGCCAAGCCAGTCAGTTACCTCTTGCCAAAGCCAGTGTGCTCACCCATCTCAGTACTTTTCTCATGCCATTGATTTCTTGGCCTCATGTGTTCTCCTTGCATTCACCCATCAGAATCTTCTCCAACTGACAGCCTAGCACAAACCCCTTCTTTTCCAAGAAACCTTCCGGATCATCCTAGTTAGAAGTCTTCTTTTATACCTCTGAAATCCTTTGGTCAGTATATTAATGTGAATCACTTGATTATGGAGCACATTGAACTTTTGTTTACCCATATTGGTTACAAGTATTTGTCTTAGTCTTTCAACTCAGCTCAACTCAGTCATCAGCCTTTATTGGAAGTATCCCTGACTCACATGTCTTTTAATAAGGATTCAGTATCTTACCTGCAGTATATACTCAAGAAATATTTGTCAATTAATCACATATTTAGTTGAAGAATTTCCCTTTGCCCTTATAATCTGTTAATTTCTTGTCACTCTCAATGTAGAGTTTTGCACAAAACTGGACACTTAATATTTGATATTGATTAACTGATAGCCTCACTTGTCCCTAATGGGCCAACTCAAACATTTGTAAAATTACATCCATAGAGCAACCACAAAGGAACTCTGCCAAAAGATTACCTGGTCCTAATGGCTTCCTTGGCTATTACCAGATAACATTTCATAAATGCCCAAGGAAAACTAGTGAGTGGAATCTGGGTGTTCTGCCTCAAGGTGCAGTAGGTTTAAGTAATCAGGATTACATAAGGAGTCTGGCTACAACGTTCTTAAGGATCTAACAGCATTGTAGCTTTTAGGTGACCTCAGAATGCTTCAGAGTATTTTTGCTCTTGCATTTCAACTTTTACTCTTGGAAATATTTCTTCGGTATTGCTACAGCTGCACAAATTGCCTAAGATAGCAGTAATTACATTTATTCATGTGGTAGTCTATGGCAAAAAGTATAAGATTGTTGACTTTATGTAAAATCACAATGCCAGGTTCCTTTCCCAAAGATGCTATCTGCTTCCTGGTTTGAGAGCCAGCTAGATTTGC